TCTGGAGGATGCAACAAGGTGTGATGACGTCTTTTACATCCTTCTACTTCACACGACATGCCTTCAAGACATCCTAGGGCTATATGTCCAGGCTTGAAGCAGTTATTACATAAGTTCAGCGAACGCATTTTGTCCTTTCGATCCATGTAGGTCATCTTTGCAAACTTTGGACAGGACTTCAACAGGTGTGGTTCTTTGCACAATGGGCARTACAGAGACCTTTCATGTGTCTTAGAGGTTGTAAAGACGTGACCAGCGTTGAGAATGGTTCTAGGCTTGGGTGTAGGTCTCTCACTGGGCTTGGATGAAAATCTTTCGTTTGGCCTGAGAGTTGATCTTTCGCGGGGCTTGGGAACAGGTCTGTTATCCCTGTAAGTTCGAAYTTCGCTGTGTGGAATCAGCAGAGTACCGAAGATAGGATCGTTGGCAGCTCTCGCCTTCTTGTTGACAAACTCTGATATATGCTGAATGGTTGCTCTTTCTCCGCGTTGCTGTAGATCATCAGCTAAGTCAACAAATCTTTGACGTAGATTGTAGGGAAGTCTTGCGACGATTCTTCTCAGGTTGTCGGCGCTGTTTATCTCTTGAAGATAATCGACTGATTCGAGGATGTGTTGACAGTTCTTTAATTCATCGGCGAATAGAAGGAGGCCAGACTGGTCCGCTGCTTTGAGTGGGGGTCCCTCGGTGAACTGGCTGACGCACTTTGAAGCGATGGTGAATGGGTGACCGAATCTTTCCTTTAGGAGATGACGTGCTGTCCTGTAACCCTTTGACGGCTCCATCATGGCACAGCTTTTGATGGTACGTTTGGCATCTCCAGAGGTGTACTGCAGCAGATACATCACTCGCTCACTATCTGTTAGGGTGTTCTTTTCGATATAGTTCTCGAAACATTTCATAAAGCTATAGTACTCCAGTGGGTCACCATCAAAGGTAGCTAAGTCAGGTCTAGGGAGATGGATGATCATATGAGCTAAATTCATCATCATGTTGTTAGTCTCCGTCACTTTGGTATCTGGAAGTACACATTTCTTGACACAGGGATTAGTTTGATTTTCAACATTGTCATTACAAACATATTCAAATTGATCAATATTTCGATTGTCATTAACAGTATGAGTTAAATCATCAAGTACATCATCATTACATGATTGTTCAGTTTGTTCATCTAATCTGTATTCTTCTTTGACCGCATCATTGAGTTTCAATCCGTTTGCTTGAGGTGCGTTTGATTGTTCTTCATAATCATTTAATTCTAACTCACCATTTTGGTCGTCATACGGTTCATTATAAATATTTACTTCTAGTTGAGCTCTCTCAAGTTTGTACTGTGCTTCTAGAAGCTCCCTTTGCATTCTCATATCTTCTTCCTGACGTAATAACCTTTGGCGATTCTTGAGTTGTTCCACTTCCAATTTAGCCAAGGCTTCGTTGGCCTTTACTCTCCTTAAAGCCACTGAAGACGTGACACTACCCACGTTGCTCGCCGAGTCTTTAGGCTGAACAGCATTATCCCTCAACCAGGTCTTTGCTCGTAGAATGACTGACGATTTCCGTTGTAATTGATCGTTGTAGTATCTGTTAGCA